GGGAGGAAGCAACTTACCCTCCCTCTTCTGCCTCCTCCTGGCTGAATGAGGGCCGGAAGCGGGGCGGCTGGAAGCAGGGGGCGGGGCTTCGTCATGTGCCCCGCCCCCTGCACCTCACCTGGGGGAACTGCAATCCCCCCCGAATCGACCTCTGGTTGAGTCTACTGCATGAGTGCAGCGCTCTTCCTTTATATGGGGCTTCCCCACATTCTCATCTTCCTTGCTTGTAAATTCCTGTTTCTTTGGGTGGGGGTTACGGTTCCACATGTGTATTGCTCCCCCTAGTGGCTGATTCAAAATTATATCAGTGCATGTCCAGCATAAAAACCTGCCCTTTAAATCTGCTGGTCATAAACCACTGCAAAACTGCATCACCTGCAAGAGGGAGCAAAACGTGCGTGGAACAGAAAAAACAACAACAACAACAACGAAGGATCTTACAAGTGAGGAAGCTGAGACTGTGGGAAATCCCATGATTCACGCTTATTCAATCTATTTCTTGTGCTGGAACAAGGGCTCTTTCAGCAGGTTACCTATTATGTTGGGGGAATCGCTGATTGAATCCTATGATCGTGTGAAGTTGAAAGGGGATTGGATCAGATCTGTGGCACTGGGCCAGGAGGGATTTACTCTTTTCTCCTGTGCTATTTTACTAATAATCCCACCCCTTCAATAATTACTGTCCCTGCACTGGGAATATTAAGAGTTTTGGAATGGGAGAGGTTTTCCTTTTTAAATCAGGAAAATATTGCAGACTGAAAGCATTAATCCCTCCTGCCTCAGTACTATGGACCCAATCCAAATCTCCCACCTCCAGCAGCCCAGACTCCAGTGGAGGAATCCTGGTGACTCCGTCATCAGCACATGAGGCTTTCAAACACATCTGCCCTAATGAGGGTCAAGTTACATATGATGGGGGAAGCCCAGGTTCTTTATTCATGCGTGTGCCCTGTTTGCACATATGATTTCTTCCTGCATTTCTACCCTCCACACCAGTACTCATATATAGGCCAGGGAAGGGAGATAATCTCATCTTCGAATATTTGGACAATTGGGGGCGGGGGGGGCAGGAAGTGCCCCCAATCTTTTCAAAACAACTCCATTCTCTTGATCCCTACCATTTTTTTCTTTCTCATTTCCTAACCTTCCTGTCTCTTCTTTCCTTTATTTTCCCTTCCTGCCTGCCTCCCTCTTTCTCTATTGATTCTCATTTCCCTCTTTCTTGTTCTCTTTCGGATTCAGAAAGTTTGGGGGGGGACAGGCAGCGTGCCAGCTGTGTGCAAGGGAGCGGGATGCAACTTAGAATAAATTCTGCTGATGGAAACCTGTTCCTCTTTAAGGCATCATTAGACTCCTGCTTATTTTTGCTGCAATCGACTAATACTGCCACCATGTTGGAAACAGAAGGATCCAATTGGCTGATGACCCAGTTCCCTGCTTGGTTATTAGGTCAATGATAACCCTTCAAGAGTCCTGAATGGTTTGTCCTGATTTATATGAATGTGGGCACTGCTGTCCTCATCCCCCACAGGCCCTTACTCTCTAGGCCTTTGACTGTCCTGGGATTTCCTGCAGTTCAGACTGAAGGATTAGTATCACATGGCTGCTTTTGCCCCAGTTAATCGGCACTGCAATTAAAGTGGGGTGGCGCGAGGGTGCTGTAGGGAACAATCAGGAAGAGCATCAGTGCAAAGTTCTTGAGAGCCGGTTTGGTGTAGCAGTTAAGAGCACAGACTCTAATCTGGAAGAACCAGGTTTGATTCCTCACTCCTCCACATGCAGCTGCAGGTGTGACCTTGGATCAGTCATGAATTCTTTCAGAGCTGTTCTCTCAAGGGCAGTTCTCAAGAGAGCTCTCTCAGCCCCACCTACCTCAGAAGAACCAGGTTTGATTCATCACTCCTCCACATGCAGCTGCAGGTGTGACCTTGGATCAGTCATGAATTCTTTCAGAGCTGTTCTCTCAAGGGCAGTTCTCAAGAGAGCTCTCTCAGCCCCACATACCTCACAAAGTGTCTGTTGGGGGAGGGGGGAGGGAAAGGAGATTGTAAGCCGTTCTGAGACTCCTTCCGGTAGTGAAGGGTGGGGTATAAATCCAATCTCCTCCTTCTCCTCCTCCTTCCACAGTTCACTCCTTTGAGGCAAGGCTGTCAACCTCCAAGTGGGGCCGAAGTCCTCCCAGAATTACAGCCAATGACAGAGATAGTTTCCTCTAGAGGAAATGCCAGTTTTGGAGGGAAGAGGCATCACATCCCCACTGGGATCTGCTCCCTCCGCAAACTCTCTCCTTCCCGGGCACTGCCCCCAAAGCTCCAGGAGTTTCTGAAGCTGGAGCTGGCAACCCTGCTTTGAGGTGAGGATTTGCCATGTTACCATTCCTCCCACTTCAACTAGGGTAGCTGTCAGGTTGCAGCCAGTTTATGGCAACCCCGTAGGGTTTTCAAGGCAAGAGACAGCCAGAGTTGGTTTGCCATGGCCTGCCTCTGCGTAGCAACCCGGGACTTCCTTGGTGGTCTCCCACCCAAGTGCTAACCAGGGCTGACCCTGCTTAGCTTCTAAGTTGTGACAAGATCAGGCTAGCCTGGATCATCCAGGTCAGGACACAGTTTAATTCGACTATAGTTAATATCAGGGCTTTTTTGGTAGAAAACGCCCAGCAGGAACTCATTAGCATAATAGGCCACACCCAACAGCAGGAACTCATTAGCATATTAGGCCACACCCAACAGCAGGAACCCATTAGCATATTAGGCCACACCCAACAGCAGGAACTCATTAGCATAATAGGCCACACCCAACAGCAGGAACTCATTAGCATATTAGGCCACACCCACGAGAGCACAGCTCATTACCAAATTAGGCCGCCCCAACAGCAGGAACTCATTAGCATATTAGGCCACACCCACGGAAGCACAGCTCATTACCACATTAGGCCGCACCCCCATGTTACCAGAAGTGTGCTCATCCAGCCACACCCACCTTTTGCTTCTTATTCTGTTGACCTAGTTTGTTGTCAAAACCCAGGGCCTTTTTTTTTGAAGCAGGAACTCCTTTGCATGTTAGGCCACACACCCCTAATTGTAGCCAATCCTAGTGAGTTCCTGCTGTTGGGTGTGGCCTATTATGCTAATGAGTTCCTGCTGGGCGTGGCCAACTCGGGAGCCAGCCGGAACTCCGTTCCTGTGCGTTCCTGCCCAAAAATAGCCCTGGTTAATATGAGTGTCTGTGTGAGTGCCACTCCACCATGTAAGGGTACATCAAACTAGGACTGGAAACCACGGTTTGAAGTCGGTTTATTGACCACAGTTGCTCCCAATGTGGACATCTTGGCTTATCCCTGAGTTGTTCCCCAATGCTCTCCTCAAGCATTCCCTCACTACAGAGATGCCTGGCCAGAAAGGAGGAGATGCAACCAGTGCTTCTCCAAGCAAACTGGGGTTTGCATGCTCACCTGAGAGCTGAATCCTGGTTTCACAAACTAACCACCGTTAAAATAAACCATGGCTTCCCATTATATTTGAACCAAGTCATTGAATCAGTGGCAGACATGTTCAGCTTCTGGTCATCAGAAGGTCTGTTAAAATGGAAAACTACGGGGCTTTTGAAAAACTGGCAGAGATGGTGTTGTTTGTACCCCCCACCCCACCCCAGAGCAGACACAAAGTTAGTGCTCTGATGAAAATGGCAAGGAGAACAGGATGGGGGGGAAATATGCGGTCCACAGTGAAGGCGTGATAAGACTGTGACGCATGATAAACAAAGCTTGTGTTTGAAATATGTGTGTTGCAAGCAGTGTTCCCTCTAAGCTGAGTTAGCGTGAGCTAGCTCACAGTTTTTTAGCCCCTGGCTCACACATTTTTGTCTTTGCTCAGGAAGGATGGGTCCAGCGCAAATGAATTCATGCAGTAGCCAAATCACTTACTCACCACTTTAATGCCAGTAGCTCACGAAGTGGAATTTTTGCTCACAAGACTCCACAGCTTAGAGGGAGCATTGGTTGCAAGGTCTAAAAATTCTGTCATTATAGGGTTAACGTGTGCTTACCTTGTGTGCTATTGTTTAGACTGACCTGGAAGGAAACCTGGCACAGAGGCAATGGAAACAAAGCCTGCGAAATTGAACTCTGTTTACTCACAATCATTGGTTAACGTATTCAGGTGATTTCCTTCTAGGGGTCAAGAAGAAGAAGAAGAATCTCCACTGTTGTAGACTCTGTGGTCAAACTGTAAAGATGTAGTCCTTAGGTGTCTTCCCCTTAGAAATAAAGATTTTTACATAGAAGAAATTGCCTGCTCTCCAGTGAAGCAAAGATCCATTGCAATCTCTGAATATTTAACTATTCTGCCAATTTTCCCAACAGCTTGTGCTGAGGAACCCCAAATAGCACATGGGTTCATAGAAGCACTTCCTGGCTGCTCGTCCTTTTCATTTTATCCACTCAAAGCTATGAGATATCCTGGATTTGTTCTACGCATTTGCATGTATTGGGTTGGATCCAGCCCACTTTTTCACTCAATCTCTCCTAATTCTCAGGGCTCTTTTTAAAGAAAAAGCCCAGCAGGAACTCATTAGCATAATAGGCCACACCCAGCAGCAGAAACTCATTAGGATATTAGGCCGCACCCCTGACTGCACCACTTGTTAGCATATTAAGCCACACCCCCATGTTGCCAGAAGTGTGCTCATCCAGCCACACCCACCTTTCCCTTCTTATTCTGTTTACCTTGTTTGTTGTCCAAACCAGGGCTTTTTTTGTAGCAGGAACTCCTTTGCATGTTAGGCCACACACCCCTAATGAAGCCAATCCCAATGGATTTCTGCTGTTGGGTGTGGCCTATTATGCTAATGAGCTCCTGCTGGGCCTGGCCAACTTGGGAGCCAGCCGGAACTCCGTTCCTGTGCGTTCCAGCCCAAAAATAGCCCTCCTAATAATACACCCCCCCGTCCCGTGTGGTTTTTGCCCTTGCCGGTTCTCAGGTCCCCCTTGTTTGCCAAAGGGCCCTCCTCTGTATTTTCAACGGCAGAAAATGTGGTTGGCTCCATCACATCATAATACCATGTGAAAAAATTCTGGGCAGTTGTAAGCTGTCACTTCAACATTCCTGCACTAAAGATCAAGAGGACAAGGTGTCGGAGGAAGCTGCGGCCATTCCGCATAGAAAAACAATAACTCGTGTCTATTCTCTCTCGTTCTGTTTAGACTCTTGTACAGTGAGGAAAGACATTCGCCAAATGCTCCTGCTGTCTACGGGATTCATCATTTCTCTGGGTGCAAGGTAAACGGAGTGTCTCCGTAAACAACCATACTTTAATGTGTAATGGCCACACTGAATTTTCTAAGCAGGTACAGCCCACTGGTTATTTATTTATTTATTTATAATTCAATTTATATATCCCCCCCAAAACAACAAAATGCTGGTGCTCTGATGTTCCCAGTTCCAAGGTGGGTTCTGGTAGGGTGGATCCGGACCAACGACGCAAGTTCCGGAGCGGCAGATAACCAGTCTTCTTCCCAGGGCCTGCTTACCACTGCTGGTGTCTCTGCCCAATTTTTGGTGGTGGTGCATTGGTGGAACAGTAGCGGCGGCGGCTCCTACTCAAAAGCCTGGCGGAAGAGCTCCGTCTTACAGGTCCTGCGGAACTGCGCAAGATCCCGCAGGGCCCGGATCTCCTCCAGGAGCTCATTCCACCAGGTAGGAGCCGCCACCGAAAAGGCCCTGGCCCTCGTCTCGGCGAATCTGACGTCCCTGAGGCCTGGGGTAGTCAGAAGATATTGGCCCCCCGACCGTAGTGCCCTTGGGGGAACATATAGGGAAAGGCGGTCCCTTAGGTATGCCAGACCCTGACCATAAAGGGCTTTAAAGGTAAGAACCAGCACTTTGAAGCGAATCTGGTACGCTATTGGCAGCCAGTGCTGCGCCTTCAGCACAGGCCGGATGTGGTCCCGCCTAGAGAGACCCATCAACAGCCTGCCTGCTGCATTCTGCACTAACTGCAGCTTCCGGATTTGCGACAAAGGCAGCCCCAAGTAGAGAGTGTTACAGTAGTCCAACCTCAAGGTGACCGTCGCATGGATCACTGTAGCCAGGTCATCACGGTCAAGGAAGGGAACCAACTGCCACGCCAGCCGAAGATGATAAAAGGCCGACTTGGCAGTGGCTGCTACCTGGGCCTCCATCATTACACATGGAATTCATTGCCACAGGAAATGGTGGCAGCTACAAGCATGGACGGCTTCAAAAGGGAATTAGAAGCTACCATAGAGTTTTCGCCCCCAAACCAGAGCGTGGCCCTGATGTGCCACGACAGACGTCAAATAGGCACATTGCTGAAACATGGGATGAGACTCCCTGCTCCTGGTAAATCCACCCTGCATCGCCCTCTGACTGCCTGGAGGAGGCAGGCAACCCTAGCAGGGGGGGGATGGGGTTGCCTGGTTCTGCTGTGCTGTAGTCCCAATCAGGATTGGGTCCTCGCAGCACTGTTAAATAGCTGAGTTCAGCTCTAAAATGGCATTGGCGTCCAAAAGTCAGAGCCATGGTGGATGCCGTAAG